AGGACAGGTTTGCCCTCAAGTCGTCTAAAGTGCAGGACGGGATGGGGCTCTATACGGCCCGCAGAGTGGAAAAGGTGGGTGATCCTCAGCCCCGCCCGGGGGTGCCCGACCCGCGGCTGGCTCCCGCGGAGAGAGGCTGCCACGTAGCACGGGAGGGGATTGCACGGCGCCGTCTCCCCGCGCCGCTGCCTGCCTGCCTGAATCCAGCCCTCCCCTTTGTCGGACTTCACTTCACTTCCGTCTGCTCCTCGGGGAAGGGAAACTCCCCCAAAAGTTCCAAACCAGCCAGCGGTTGGGATGCGCCCCCCCGGCCCGCAGGCCCTGGGCAGCAGGGTAGAGCAGCTGTGCCCACAGCTGGCTCATTCTGTGCCCCAGCAAGAAGTGAGCTGGGGGGGGTGGGGGGTGTTTTAGTTGGTGGTGCCCTGCTCCTGACACAGCTTCTTTCTTTCAGAGTTGGGCCAGGTCCTGCTTGGAGCAAGGTGTCAGACTGGATGATCTCCTTGGGTCCGTTCCAACAGGGCTGGAGTTACACTTTTAGTTTCAGGGGGTCTGCAAAAAAAATTAAATGGGTTCATTGATTAACAAGTCCACCCAAGTGAAGGAGCAATCCGGAGGATGCCCCTCCCCGCCAGGTTATGATTTTCAAATCTTACAGGCGGGCTCTTGTCTCTTCTGTGTCCCCCCTGAGCTCCCCTGTCATTGGCACCCTGCCTTCCTGCCCTCCTTTTCTCTGATTCTATGACATGCACCTCTTGTGATCTACCTGGGGAGATTTGGCACCTCTTGTGATCTACCCAGGCCCCTGGCACCCCTCAAACTCCTGTGCTTTTCTTGCCTTTCCTAGAGCAAATGCCTAAATTCACCTTTAGCTTCTTACAAAGAACCAGAACTCTTGGTTCCAAAATGATACCTTTTATTAGACCAACTCGGAAATTGCAAGAAAATTGTCCTTTTCTGAAAATTGACAATTTTTTTTTTGTGGGGGGGTTGTTGCCATTTCCCAATTGGTTTAATAAAAGGTATCATTTGGAACCAAGAATTCTAGTTTTTTGTATGTCTTTTTGTCTCAGACCAACACGGCTACCAAGTACACCCCATTAGCTTCTTGAAACTTCAGTTATCTAGATCCCTCTTCCTCAAAGCAGGTCACATCCCCTGACTGCTGTTAATTAGAATATTCTCTTGATGATCCCAAAAATCTCAATTAGCCAGCACTAATGTGTGGCCCCCATTATGTTCAGATAATTGAAGTGATGCTAAACTATTGTTATTAATCCCATATTAATTTAAGCTTCTACTGGGGTTGTTCTTTTTTTCTTGGATTCTTTAGTTTTTTGAGTCTGCGTCCCATTTTCGGATCTTACTGATTGATTTGAGAATCATTTGGACTTCCTGGGCTGCCTTCTGGTGTATACAGCTTGCTTTGACTCCTTGGCATATAGTGAAGCTCAAGCATATTTTGACTTATTTTAATGGTCTGGGACATCTCTGGATCTATTTTGCCTTTCCCTGATACTGGTGTACCTTGGGATTAACTGGCCGCGTCTACATGAGATACTGACAGCGCAGTTCTTATTGTGCAGTCGTTTAGTACTTGTATACACAAGCACTTGTATACACAAATACTAAATGTGTATACAAGTACAAAATGACTGCACAGTCGCCTGGAGTTACTGCGCAGTAACTGGAGTTACTGTGCAGTAGCATCGCCGAATGGCTTGTAGGTGATGCTGGCTGCACAGAAGCTCTTTACTACTGCACAGTAGCGTCACGTCATGTTTTGTGTCGTGCGATGCTTCTGTACAATAGTAACAAGCTACTGCTCAGTCAGTTTCTTGTGTAGAGGTGACTGCTAAGTTCAAAACATTGCAATGGGCAGAAGGGAGGGTAATCTTCACCTTACTCCCAACCGAAGCCCTTCCATTTTCTTGGTAAAAGTGTCACCAGGTTTTGCTGTTAAACAGGGCTTATGAAACGGTTCTTGACAGCTTAAGTCTGCACTATGAACTTTTGCGGCATCGTTGTGTAAATCAGGAGATATGAAGTTTGACCTCCTGTAGAGGTAGTTTTGCAGGCAAAAGGCCTTAGTATAGATGTAGGCATAGTGAAGAAGCTGTATCTTTGTTACTTTCACTTATTTAAGTTGGGGTGTGAAGGATGCTGAAGTAAACTATACTGTTTGTAGTGTGTTTTTTACCGATATAATCAGCATTCATGCTAGAAGTGCTTTGCCAGTGTACGATGCAGGTATGGCTATACCGACAAAGTGCCCCTAATGTAGACCTGGCTGTTGTGTTGCAGATGATTAGTCATAGGAACATGGAGTGTGCTGCGGGTATTTTGTTATTAAAGGCTGTGAATTGGGGGCTTTGCATGAGCAGCAAACCTCACTGTCTGGAATCAATACAATTTGCTCCCTGAAAAATGGGTATTGGTATGGAACTTGAAGACAAGACTGGGCCTGCCTGCGTGTTCTTGGTGACTGTCCTCTGTCTCAGGACTGGTGCATCTGAGTAAATAAAACAAGTTAGGCACAAGTCATACTCACACTTCATGGCACTGATTTCCCTTCTATAGGGAAGCAGAAATTAGTGTGTGACACGTATTAGCAGCTGTCTCCAATAGTTGACCTTTAATTAAAACGTCAAACTTTGCAATACTGAGAATTAGCAACACTGGAATTTCTTGGTGTTTTGCTGGAAATAGAACCAGATTGCTGAAATGGGACTATTGTAGCTTAACTTTCACGAAAGTTGACACCTGCCATTTTCTGCAAATGTGACGATATGGCAGTTTGCATGTCCTTCTGTTGTATACATAATGTCTGGTGCACGCATCATTTTTTATCAACTTGAGAAAGTATAATCTGTTAGGGAGATGTGTGTGTGTGTGTGTGTGTGTGTGTGTGTGTGTGTGTATCAGCATGTTACAACATGCTTATCAACAACCAAAAAATTCAGATATATCTGTAAAAATAAATAAATAAAAGTTCTTTTTGATGATAATGTTTATATTAACAGCTGCATGTACTATTGGGATCTTTTGGGTTGCAGAGCATAATGGCTAGTTGTCTACCAACTTCAGTTTCATGTTAAAATATGTCAAGTTTAAATTAATATTTAAAAATACATCTCACTTGCTACTTACTTTGAAATCACTTTGGAACTCAGGTGAATGTCTCCTGTTTCTTATCCACCACAGTTCTGGATTGTCATAATTTCTTAAACATGTAAGATTACAGTAGAGATTTATTGGTCTTGTGTGAATTGCTGTGCGTAACCCATGGTGGTCCGTACTTGTTCAGCAGTGCATGCTATTTTAGGACAATTGCTACATTTCACAGAAGTGTCTGTTTTGATGGTGGGCAGAGCTTTTATGCTTTGGGATCCTTGGAAACAAAAGGTTTCTTAGAAATGTAAAACAACGGAGCTGACTGGCCCAGGTATAACCAGCATCTTACTTCCTGATCTGTGTAATAACACATTCTTATCTTCCATTCGTCTTATAAGGATAAAGACATTAAAGACAGAGATATTACAGTGATATGTGCCCTACTTATGGTAGATACATTTAACTCCTCATCTGCGCTTTCAAAGGGTAGTTCTACCTTTAAAAAGTAACCGTGTAAACCCATCCTTATCTGGTTTCATGTTCACTGAGTTTTAAACTGATTTCCGTATCACATTTGCACAGTTTATTGCTGGTACAGGCTACCACAGGCTCCTTCTCTTCTTAAACAAGAGGGGAAACCAGGGAACTAATTGTGACAGTGTCACACTATCCCTAGGTCAGCTCCTGGGCCTGTAAGAGCTATTTGCTGTTTTTACATGCCTCCCTTTGCTTGGGACAGATTGTAATGCTAAAACCCATCCTTATATTATAAACTTTTTAGGCACTGCCTTTTAAAAAAAATCTAAGACCTCTCCCAAGTCTTACTTATACAAATATTTATCAACAATAAATAAAAAATTCCATATGTCTGTAGTGTAAAAAAGGGTATCATTTTAAGGGAGGCAAGGATTTTTGTGGGTATTATATTTTATTGCACCAACTGCCTGGCTGGAATAGACTTAGACAAGCTTTTAAATGCAGCAAATTCTTAACATATTTTACATAATAGTTTAAACATACTAGCTAGACATGTTGTAGTTTTGACATTTGTTTGAAGTTAAGATGTACCTTTACCAGCTAGTACATGTTAAAGCTACAGCTTTCTTTTTCTACACCAGAATTTTAAGTTAAAAGATATATCTACTATTTTTTATTTTGATGAGAGTGCTTGAGTCAGTGGCCCCAGCCTTTTTTTGCCATGACCTACTGCTGGGAGCGGAGTGCGGTGGCAGTGGCCCCGGGTCGGGGGGAGGGGGGGGCGGGAAGGCTCCTGGCACGCAAAGCGGCTTGTCCTTTGTGTGCGTCGCTGCTGGCATTGCCCCCGATACCCTCATTTGGGTTGCGGCCTGAGGTTGGAAACTGCTGGCCTAAGGGAATGGTAATACCGTATTTACTCAAGTCCAGGATGTGCCTACCCCCTCGCAGTCAGCATCAGGGGGGCAGCCTTGTCTTGGATTTGAGTACTGGTTTGGGGTAGGCAGAGACTTAACTCTAGCTTTGGCCACAGGCTCATTTGGCTGGGGAGGGGCACACGGTAGGGTGGGGTAGCGGGTAGAAGATTACTGGGTAGGGGGAAACATGCAGCCTACCCTTCCAATCCCTGCTCCCCTGTGCCTGTATGCTTCCCACTCCCTGCTGCCCCCTCCCCTTTTACCTTCTGCTGTGGCTCAAGCTCTAACCCAAACTGAGCCAGCTGAGAGCTGCTGCCAGTTCTCCCTGGCTCAGCTTGGCTGGGACCATGTTGCTGACTGCTCTAGAGAAGCAGAGCCACAGCCGAAGGTAAGCGGGGGTGGGATGGGCAAGGGTTGGGGGGCAGGCTGCAGGGAGGAACAGGGGGTAGAGGGTCAGGATGCAGGAGCGCAAGGGCTGGGGGGCAGGCTGCAGGGGGTTGGGGAGTTGCACTGCAGGGAGGCCAAGGGGTGGGGATGCAAGGAGTGTGTAGTGGCGGGGGGCAAGGGCCAGGTAGCAGGGGGCAGTCATAGGCACAGAAGGGCACGTGACAGGGGGCACATGCCAAGGGGCAGGGGGGAGCAAGAGCTGGAGGGCTGGCCCCTGGCCTCCTGCCACTGCTTTTTCCATCACAGCAGGATGAATTTAAGAACAAACAAATTTATCATTTTTCATTTTTACGATCAGGTCACAAAAGCATTGGATGCAGGTGTTGCCGTGGATGTAGTCTTTCTGGACTTCAGCAAGGCCTTTGACACCGTCTCCCACCCCATCCTCATTAAAAAACTAGGCAACTATGGCATTGATGCCTACACAGTCAGATGGATTGCAAATTGCCTGAAGGGTTGTACTCGGAGGACGGTGGTGGATGGGTCATATTCAACCTCGGGGGAAGTGGGCAGCGGAGTCCCCCAGGGCTCGGTCCTTGGGCCCGCACAAGTGCAGGGTGCTGCACTTGGGCAGTAGTAACCAGCAGTACACTTATAAGATGGGAAACTCCCTTCTTGAGAGCACGGTGGCAGAAAGGAATCTTGGAGTCATCATTGACTCCAAGATGAACATGGGCCTACAATGCGAGGTCACAGTCGGCAGGGCTAACCAGACCCTATCGTGCATCCACAGGTGCATCTCAAGTAGGGCCAAGGAGGTGATCCTCCCCCTGTACACAACACTGGTCAGGCCACAGCTGGAGTACTGTGCCCAGTTCTGGGCACTCCACTTCAAGAGGGATGTGGACAACATTCAGAGGGTACAGAGGAGGGCCACCCGCATGATCAGGGGGCAGCAGGGCAGACCCTACAGTGAGAGGCTACGGGACCTGAACCTGTTCAGCCTTCACAAGAGAAGGCTGAGGGGGGACCTGGTGACCGTCTATAAACTCACTAGGGGGGACCAGGAGGGTTTGGGGGAGACCTTGTTTCCTCTAGCGCCCCCCAGGATAACAAGGAATAAGGGCCACAAGTTGTTGGAGGGTAGGTTTAGATTAGACATCTGTAAGAACTACTTCATAGTCAGGGCGGCTAGGATCTGGAACCAACTTCCAAGGGAAGTGGTGCTGGCTCCTACCCTGGGGGTCTTTAACAAGAGGCTTGATACCTACGTGGCTGGGGTCATTTGAACCCAGTTTTCCTCCTGTCCAGGCAGGGGGTCGGACTTGAAGATCTACAAGGTCCCTTCTGACCCTACTTCTATGATTCTGTGTATACCGTCTAATTTTTGGGTGGTTGTCTTAAATTCTAAGTCATCTTGGGTTCATGTAAATACAGTATTATAACTACAAAGGCTTTATAAATATGTTTTCCCGAACTGTGTTAATGTCTTAAGTACTAAAGACAACCTGGCATTTTGCTCTTACTGCCTACGAAGGCTGAATTATAGAAGTGATTGCATAGCATGTTAAAGTTACTTTTGTCAAACAGGGATGTATTTGGTAGCCCTGTTGGTCTGAGATGAAAGGAATGTAAAACTCTAGAACTCATGGTTCAGAGATGATACCTTTTATTAGACCACCTAAGAAATCACAAAACAAATATCTTTTTCTGCGAGCTTTCCGGCTCATGCCTTTCCTCGGGCTCAGGGAAAATTAAAGATGGTAAAAACTTCATTTTTGGGCAGAGGAAGCTGAAGGTGGATGTCTGGAGCAAAAACAGGGAAAAGATGGTTCTATAGCATTATAGGAATAAAGTCTTAATTAAATGATTCACCATGCTTCTAATATGGTATGTGAGACAAAACTGTTGCAGGAATATGATGGTTCAGGCTTTTCTGGCATGAGGCTTGTATAACAGGTGGTTTCACATTTTACAATTTTAATTTTGTTTATACAAACGAACTAATTCATAGTACATACGTACTGTTATTTTCACCAAATTTCTCTATCTGCTCAAAAACCTCAAAGCTGTTCAGTGTTCTCATTTGTGGCACTTCAAAAAGCAGATTTGTAATCAGGAAAATTAATGCAATAGAAACTCTACAGCCAAAAATCTTAATTTTTATAAGGATGCCTGTTGAAAAGTGCTTTCTTAAAATGTTATGCTAAGATAATATTGGCACAGTGTAATAGTTTTTTATTAAAAAAGTTTGTTTTATAAATTTTAGCATAAGTTAAAATGGAGAAAATTGTGCTCTTTGCCAAATGGATGATAAATGTGGGAAGGTAAACCTGTAATTTTAAAAGGATGTCTGTTGCAACCTATGCAAAAAAGGAAAGATTTACAAAAATAGCATAATGTGGTATATTAGTACATGTAGCTGTTTGTGAAATAGACAGTAAGCCCTCAATTTCCCTAGCCATAGATGAACATGACATTGCCACTGTTGAGTTCTGAGCTATAATACTACGAAGTTTTGGTAGATCAAATCAAATTGTCTTTTTCTTTTTGAAGGTGACGTTGTCGCAAAATACTGTAGTTTGGTAAATTGGTTGCATTACTTTCTTATCCTTTTTGTTTAAACATTATCTAGGGTGAAAAATTTGGTCCGTTTGCTGGAGAGAAAAGAATGCCACAAGAACTGGATGAAAATACAGACTGCAGACTCATGTGGGAAGTAAGTTGCTCAGCTGGATATTACGAGCAGCAAAAGGTCTTTGGAGAAGTAGGCCTTCAGATACGTTACGTTATGATACATTACATTACATTACATTTCATTAACTTAAATAGACAACTTGAACCACTTCTGGATTTTGTAAATACCTTACAACAAACCTTAGCTTCACTAGAAATGTTTCAGGGATTTGATGATGATGATGTTTTAAGAGAAATTATACATACTTCTAAAGGAATAAGTCATAACACATCCTAGTAATTCATGGGGAGCGATCAGTGAAATTCACTTTCAGCCAAGATGAGCAAAATGTGAAAAAAATAAACAAGCATGGTGAGAAATTGATTAGTACTGACTTTTTAAAAAAAGCTAAAACAGTAATATAGTTGTTGCTATGATATTTTGATTAATTTTATCTTGTCAGTGGCCTTTTAAAAGATGAACATAATATAGTAGAAGATTAAAAATAGTAATAATTGTAAAAGCAGAACTAGGAATTTTGGCACTGGAGTGGCACGTGCATGTGTATGTGCTAAGCAGTTACCTCCCTGCACAGTGGTGGCTGCTGTAACAGTGCGAGATCCTTGACTATGGGCTCCCCATGGGCTGCAGTTTTGAAACCTTTCTGTCCACCTCCCTCCTCCACTAATTGGCCATCAGGGCTAGTGCCTATGGCTAGATCCAAAAAGTTAATTCTGCTCTTTGATACTTATTAGTTTGTAGTTCTGCTCTTTTTGCTGTTTGGGAATCATCAAGGTGACAATATGGTGGCTGTTACATGTTTATTTCATAGCTTTATGTTTATGTGAAGAGAGATATTTAAATATATATATTGTTGTTTTAGTCCTGCTTTGCATTAGGTCATATGTTTGGAAGGTTAGCTTTTTTTTTTATTCTACTGGATATTTCATTTTAAGTAATCTATAACCTTTTAAGTACTCCATAACTAAGAAATTTAAAACTAGTTGAAGTTGAGATTTGGCAAAAAAACCCCCAAACTGTGAAATTTCTTTTGAAATGTCTTCTCCCTAATTTATTGCAATTCTTATGGAAATTTTGTTTTCTATGAGATTCTGATAGACAAAGTGCCATACTTCCTTTTTTTTAAAGCAAGCCTGCTTTTTATTTGTCCTTGAGTGTGTCATGTTTTTCAATATTAGAGTCTTAAGAATAATGGTGGTGCCTTTTGAAGTTGGAGGCATAATGTTTACCATTAAATGGATTTTGTACTGCTAAACAACAAGTGAATGGATGCTAAAAGCCAGTCTTGTTATCCAAACTCCATCTAGGGAAATACAGGTCTGCCATACCTTTTTATTTGCTTGCGTAGTCATAGCAAATGGCTGATCTTAATTGGCCTCATCAATTACAACAAATGTAAATTTACTGTTTGTTGCTTGCTGAACTTATGTCTTGTTATCTTAAAACTACCTCACCTTTTCAATACGTTCCTGCAGGTCATCTTCAGTTGACAGCGGTGCCCATAGACGTGCGGGGAGGCTGCTCTGAAACACTTTAATTACAGCGCTCCAGCAGCTTCTGCGTCTCATGTATCAGCATCCCAATGCTTCAAAATGGTGGTGGGGTGCTTTAACTGAAGCTCATTCAAAATAGTGGTGGGAATGCTGATGCATGAGATGCAGTGGGTGCTTTAATTAGAGTGGCTCATGGAGCTGCTCTAGTTAAAGTACCCCCATCCCATCCCTGTGGCACACATAAAAATGCCATAAGATACTCTAGCCTTTGTAAGATGTTGGGTGGATTCAGGCATCAGTAAGAAGGACTCTTAATTTAAGTCAATCAGGAAGTGCAATACTCTTCTAAATGACCTATTACTGATGTTTACATTGGAATTGACGCTTTCTTCAACAAGCAAATAGTACTGGTGACACTAATATGACCCCAGTAACAGCAAAACAGAAATTGGCTTATAAACATTATTCTAAAACTATTCTGCAACATTTTATTCCATCGTACTTCTGAAAGTCTCTAAAAGATTGATGCATACCACATTTTATGACTTCCTGAAGGTTTGAACCCAGGTGATATATGTTTACCAAAGTTGGTGTGAACACAGATTTTATAATGTAATTTAAATAATGCTGAGAGTAACATTGAATTCAAAACGTATAACATAGATGCCATGAAATGTGTAAGGTAAAAAGGAGTTGAATAATCCAAATAGATGATTATTTCAGAAGCTGTTTGGGGCAGTTAAGAGGAGCTAGCCAAGTTAGTGGCTATTTAGTTGAATTAAATGCAATGCAAATAAATGTGTCAGTGACCAGGAAAACTACAGTTCTGTGAAGTATAAATGCAATGAAAATCAAAATAGTGATTTTTTTTGGGGGGAAAAGTATATTTATAAAAAAGGCTAAGAAGCAAAATGTTTTTCATTTTCCTGGCTCAGATAAATATGGATGTGACAGAACTTGTTTTCTGACTGTGATGTGTGTGATTTTAGTTCCAATTTAGTGGGACCATCTTGTGTAGGAATCGGTGGAAGTTTAGTCTTCTGTTGGCAAAGATGGATGGTTAATAATGTTTACTATATAAATTTCCAGTTGTGCACCACAGCTAGTGGTCTGTGATGTGGTCTGTTATGATCAAACTACTTGATCTGCGATGAGACCACCATTCTGAATTGGCTTCTTCAAGAGGTCACTCTGAGAAAGACCTGGACATTTATGTTTTCCTTTGGTCTTTGTAAAACACGATACTTAAAATGCATTCCTGTGTGTTTTGGTGAGCCATGGTAATTCTGCTAAATAAGGTTCTGAAAAATGTCAATATTTGTGATTATAAGGTTAAGTATAGAAGAGTGTTGTCATTCTGCCTGCAATGTTGATGGCAATTCATACCCTTTTGAAGAAATCAAACATTTACATTGCTCGTTTACGAGACTCTAGAGGATTGAAACGAGACCATCCTTGATGCGGGTGCCAAATTCATCTCACTACAGAGCTACATATTGAAACATTTTATTGACAAGCCACATGTCAATTAAATTAAGCCTATGAACCAAAAAATCAAAATCATAAAAGCTTAACATGGCACCTTTTCCTCAGTGCTATCAGTTTCTTGGATTATTTGCACGTAATGTACTATATAGGTAATCTGTGAAAGAGAGCCTTATTTTAGGCTACATAATCCTTGGGTCTCTTGATGGAATTCTTTCTTGGTACATTGCAAAAGTCCATCTATTTTTATTCATAATAAAACTCAGGATGGTGATTTCAAATTTTGGTTTATTTGTCCAAAGGGTAGGCGCTGAATATTTTGGGGGAATTATGTTTAACATAGCTCTTTGCCTCTTGCCTCAGATGGCTCTCTTGGTATTTTGTTTTCCATCCGCTGTGAGGGGAAGATGTTCTCTTGCATATATTTTCCTTGATGTCCCAAAACCAAGCAAGTGGCTTCTTATTTTCAGTAATATTGGATTATGGCAAAGATATGTATTTTTAGTGAACTTTACATCAGAAAGGACTAGAAAGATTTTTTTCAAATTTCCTGACAGACTATGTAAGAAAATTAGCCTGACTAAGATTGGACATAATACACTTAAAGCACTGAATATTGTATATTTTAGGTTTGGTTTCTGTTGCTCTGCCAAGATAATTTTTTTTCCTTCAGTGCTACAGATTAAATCTGAGAAGAACAGACACATGCTAGAAATCAGTAGTTTTATAGTAACTACCACTCATGTTTGTTTATATTAGAGAATAAAATGAACATTTGTTTCTGCTACTTACTCTCAGTGCTTGCAATAACAAATTGGTTTTAGTTATAAATATGGATCTGTGGAAAGTCTCCCCTTGATGTCTGTGGGATTTGGATTAGATGCATGATGATTATGATCAAGGTCTGAGACGCTGAAAATGCTTAGTTAATGTTGAGCAGAATTCTTTCAGTTTTCCTTTTAGAAACATGAGTCTGGTGTGTGAATGTCTTTATATACAGGCAGTCCTCGACTTGAAACTTTTTGAGTTACAACATTTCGCACTTGCAACGTTTATTAATTGACACCCTGTTTCAACTTTATGACCTCAGTTTCGACTTTACAATGCTTGATCTGTTGCAACGCCATGCCAACAAACAAGTTCTCTGCATCGCCCATCTCCCTGGAGAACATGTGTCCGAACTTCCTTGGACACTTGTCTTTAAGAAAGCAGGCTAGACTCCAGAAAAACCTGCAGCCAAGACTCTTGAGAAGACTCTCGCCAAGAACCCTTCAAAAAGTCCAACCAAGAGCCCTTCAAAAAAATCCAGCAAAATCACCTCAAAGAAGTCCTTCCCAGTCAATATGATTGCTATTTGCAGTATAAATACATTCATTTAGCTATATTACTCATCTATAATTGGTTGAGTACTAAATTCTGGGGTATTTTTGGTGAAAACAGGGTATCGGGCCTTGGTTCAGGAACCAATCCCCCATTTATAACATTGTTTCCTATGGGAAAATTGGTTCCAAATTACAACGTTTCAACTTAAGATGCAGTTTTCAGGAACCAATTGTGTCTTAAGTCCAAGGACTGCCTGTACAAGGAACCAAGTCATCATGTGACAAATCCTTCTGAGCTGAACCCTTGAGTTCCACTCTCTTGCTGCTAACCCTTGGGGCTTTCTTGTCCGTGGCAGACTCTTCTTTTCCAGGCATGCCTGGGTCTCACTTGTAATTCACTGGGCCTTAGAGCTCAGTTAAGGAAACTATCACCAGCCCTAAAGTTTTCTTGGGTTTGAAAAAGGAAATGAAGAAGGATTCCCTTTTCCAAAGGAGTGGTATACCTATTGCTGTCAGTTGCCCTGCAATCCCCCTTATCACAAGACAAGTTGTAAGGTACTAAGCGGAACACATTTACTATACGGAATCTGTTAAAATGGTAAAAATATAAAAAAAAAATAAAAAAAGATTTGGTGTATTTGGAGACAACACAGGGAAAAAGAAAAGGTAAAAGAAAAGAAAAAGTCTGCAGATTGAAATACTTCAACCCTACTCTCTCTCT